GAGAAACACAGTACTCTGACTCCTAGCTACAAGAATGTTATTTATTTTGTCGTTTTATACAGCTTTTCTCTCAACATTTTTCCAACTCTCCTCATTTTATTTTTGCCTGGAGGACACTCAGCTCCATCGAAATGAGCTAAAATGTGATGAAACAGTCAAAGTGGGCTGCTATTTGAGATGAAAAGCCTGAACAAATAAGAAAGTCAACCCACACACACAACTTGTGTTCATTTTTGCCTATGTTAATCTCAAGTAAACCTTAGGAAATGGCAAGAAGCCACTTGGCTTTGGCCTATCTTGAAAACTAAGTGGGATTGTCTTGGATTAATATTTGGATAGAAATGCAGGAAGCCAAGAACTAGGTTGAAAAGTTTTTTAAAAAATCATACAAGAAAATCATTTCAAATCATTTGTGTATCAAACAGAATAATAGAATAACAGAGTTGGAAGGGACCCTGGAGGTCTTCTAGTCTAACCCCCTGATCAGGGAGGACACCCTATACATTTTGAATAATTGGTTGTCCAATTTCTTCTTTAAAACTTTCAGTATTGGAGCATTCACAATTTCTGGAGGCAAGTTGTTCCACTGTAAAGGAAACTGTATCGAAACATCCATGTAAATTATCAAGTGTGCATATGTTCCCATTCCCATTTTGGGGTATTCTCCAAAACCTTGGTGTGAATGGCTGTCCTACCTCCTCACTCACCATTCTATCAGCTTCTATCCCAGGGCTCTATTTTCAATTCAATGTATAGAATGTGTTTGTGTTTATTTTCATAGTCATAATGTACACTAAAGATGGTATTTAATTTCATTGTAGAAGTGCAATGACAATAAACTAAACTAAACTAAACCCTCCTCTTCCAGTCCTTCAAGCTTTTGTCACCTGCTTTGCAGTGTCAGTGCCTGAAATTTTAGTTATTCAACCGGTGGGATTTTATTATTTTATTTATTCAACCGATAGGTTAACGTCTCTCCCAAAAGAAAGTTGTTTAGCTCAAGGTGAGTGCCAGCATAAAAAAACTCAGCAAAGTGGTTATCAGATAGAAGCCTTAGCAGGTTTAACAGAATAAGAGAATTGGAAGGGGCCTTGGAGGCCTTCTAGTCCAACCCCAGCTCAAGCAGGACACCCCTATATCATTTCAGAGAAATGGCTGTCCAGTCTCTTCTTAAAATCCTCCTGTGTTGGTATCCACAACTTCTGGAGGCCAGTTGTTCCATCAGTTAATTGTTCTGTCAAGGAAACTGTATTGAAATGTCCATTTAAATGATCAATAATTGACTCTAGGCTACTTTATTTTTAAAGTATAATCGGATATTTCAGTGTCAAAAGCAATGCTACGGCCACATAGCCTTTCCCCCCTTTCCGTCTGCCTCCATAAAACTATGATAAACTGCCACGTGTGAATATTTTACACAGTGCCTCTTCTCAATCAACGAAGTACAGAGAATCGAGAAAGAGACAGGAACAGAGGAACAATGAGATTACTCCAATTGTTGTTGTGGTGGAAAAAGAATGCTTCTGACAGCCACAAAGTGATATATTAGGCCCAACCTTGGAACCATTGTATGCAAAAAGCCCAGGTGGCAGTTTATTTTTAAGAAAACCACAAAACAGGTGCAGCTGCTATAATTGAGGAGGAATAAAAGACAGGTTTAATAATTAAGACAAGGACCCAAAGCTGTTTAATATCGCAGAAGAAAAGTCATTATTTCACATTTCACATAATGAAAAGTCATTATTTCATCTTCTTTGAGGTATTACATGTAGTTCTACTTGTTTAATGACCAAAGTTTCAATGGCACTAAAAAAAATAGCCATAGCCATGGACGAATGTCTACAGAAGCTGATGGAGTTGACAGAAATGGCTAAATTGACCATTTTGATTAAGGAAAAGAATATAAGTATCTTTGTTGCATCATGGAAACTGCTTCTGAACTTTGTGCTTGAGGTGGAAAAAAAATGAAATGATGATTTTTGGGTTTTACCAATTAGATGGATATGTATTCATAGAAATGGTTATATTACTATGGAAAAACAAAAACAAAAAGTTGTGCTTTGATGTCAATGCTTTATTTTACTGCAACAGAGAGAGTCAGAACATTTTTCCCCCTTTTCCCCCAGCCCTTCCTCACTTCTCTTTCCCTCCTTTCCCCTCACTGTCTTCTTATTTTCTTTTGTATTTTGTATCTTATTTTATAACCTAATAATTTTTTTTTAAAATTGACATATGGCCATTTTTCACAGTTATGATGGTTATGTTGTAGCATCCCCATGATCCAAAGGTGGTATTCAGCAGGTTCTGATCAGTTCTGGAGAACCGGTAGCTGAAATTTTGAGTAGGAGAACCGGCAAATCCAACCTCTGACTGGCCCCGCCAACCCCATCTCTTCTCTGCTTCCCATTGAGTCCCAGCTGATCGGCTGGGTCTTCTTTGGTTGCCCTGCACAGGAGAATGGAGATGCAAAGCAGGTTAGTGGGGTGGGGAGGAAATGGCATTTTGCAGTAACCTTTCCCCAGGAGAGGGGAGGGAATGGGGATTTTACAGTATCCTTCCCCTGCCACACCCACCAGCCACACCCACCAAGTCATGCCACGCCCACCAAGCCACAACCACAGAACCGGTAGTAAAAAAAATTGATTCCCACCACTGCCATGATCATGTAACTAAAATTTGAGTGCTTGGTAACTGGCATGTATTTATGACTGTCCTGGGGTCACCATTGGATCCCTTCCCAGCCAGCTCCCTACAAGCGAAGCCAATGGGGGAAGTCAAATTTGTTTAACCATCACATATTCTGTTAACAACTGCAGTTAAGTCGCTTAACAATAGTTGCAAAAAAAGTCCGAAAATGAGGTGCAACCCCCTTAACAGCTGCCTCACTTAGCAGTGGAAATTTTGGGCTTGACTGTGGTCATAAGTGAAGGACTATCTATAGATCGTAAGAAAGGAGAACAGAGGCTACGCAAGCCTCGTACCCTTGTGGCTTGGCTTTGGAAGTCAATGCCCTGAGTTTCATCTCTTTGAAAACCTGTAACTGTCTCCATCTTCTGGTAAAGATGAAGGCAGCCTCTAATAAAATTCAACTCCTCACTACATAAACACAATCAGGGGCATTGTTGTTCATGAGCGAACCCAAAACTTCAAGATGGCATTCATGGTCACAGGATTTTCATCACACAATTGTGACTGTCATCTTGTATTTTTACATCCCTCCCCTAGCAGATTCCATTGGATGCAGTTTTCTTGGCAACAAAATGGGCTTCCCAAGCTACTCTCCACTCTTGGTCTTCCTTGGGTATCTCCACATGCCACCTTGAGTTACTTATAAAGAAAAATGTAACAAGAAATGAATAAAAATACTAGCCAGGTTAAACCTTGCATCACTTCCAAGCCCAGGAAAGACCTGTCCCTTTTCCCTGTAGAGACCAATTTAGTGGCAGTAAAGTTAATTATATATCACTTTGTCTGGCTGCTATTACTAGTCTAAGGAACAGCAGTAAAAATGACATAGTAACCATACAAGTATAAAAAATGGAGAGTAGAATCCACTGCAGCTAGGTGGCCAATTAATTTAAATAGACAGACAGATAGATAGATGATAGACAGAGGTTGATAGTCAGATGGTAGATAATGATAAATAGATGATAGAGGTAGCACATAGTAACTATACAGCATTAGATATAGATAGACAGACAGATGATAGAAGGATGATAGACAGTTGATAGGTAGATGGTAGATGATAAATAAATGGATGGATGGATGATAAACAAAGGTTGATAGGTAGATGATAGATTGACAGATAGGCAGACAGACAGACAGTGGTATGTAGATGGTATATAATAATAGATGATAGATGGATGGGTGGATGATAGACAGCTAGATGGTAGATAATAGATATACAGATGATAGAGAGATGGTAGGTAGATGCTGTAGATGATAGATGATTGATATTGACAGATGATGGATGAATGGTAGGTAGATAGATATAAATGATTAACAGATATAGATTAATTAATGATAGAAGGATGATAGACAGGTTGATAGGTAGATGGTAGATAATGATGGATGGATGATAAAAGTTGACAGAGGTAGGTAGATAAGTACTTGCTATATAATAATAGATGATGGATGGATAGATAGGTAGGCAGATAGATGGTAGACAGACAGGTTGATAAGATAGGTAAATGATGATGGATAACAGTAGATGATAGGTAGATAGCTAGTTAAAGCAGAAAAATTAAAATTAAAATGGAAAGCAAAGGCAGGGGCAGACATCATTAACCTTAGACTGTCTACTATTGACCTCACCCCTTTCCTAAGAGGTCTGTAGGGGCCGTGCATAAGTGCACCAACCTGCCTACCGTCCCTGTCCTATTGTTCCTTTTATTTTGCTTATATGTACCCATTTCGTGTATTCATAACTATGTATATACTTAGACCTATTATCTGGTAAGCAATTGACAAATCAAATAAATAAATAAATAAATCATTAATAATTAGTCGGCGTGCAGAGTCGGATTTCCCCCAGATGTCTAAAAAAGCAACATATTCCTTATGAAAACCAAGGGGGGGGGGGGGCGAGGAATGGCGGAGGGCAAAAGAGTCAAAATCCAAAAGGACCCCATGCTGACGCAACGCTCTTTGAAACATGCTCCGCTCTCTATAGCAGGGGTCTCCAGCCTTGGGCAATTTTAAGACTTGTGGACTTCAACTCCCAGAGCAAAGCTGGCTGAGGAACTCTGGGAGTTAAAGTCCACAAATCTTAAACTTGCTGAAGGTTGGAGACCCCGGCGTCTATAATCCTTTTCCAAATAGAGCGCCCTAAGCTCTCCACAACCGGAAGCTCAACCGCCGGAAGTCAAGCTATTGGAGGCGTGCGAAACAGAGGCGACAAGCACAGCAGCGCCATCCTTTTTTCTTTCCCAGAAACCGGAAGCGGGCTCCGCTTTGGGACCCCCCCCCCACAACCTCGACCCGGAAGTCGTACTTTTCCTTGCCGGCCGAGAGCGTTTGCGTCCGTCTCGTTTTCCCAGCGGGCCAGCATGGGGAGGCCACGCCGCAGAATCCCGCCGGCTTTGCGGGCCCCGGCCGAGCGCGAAGAGAAGATGGAGGAGCCCGAGGCGGGGGAGCCGCGCGTGACGGAGGAGGCGGACGACTTCCACGAGCGGCGGCTGGAGGAGGCGGTGCTGGCGGCGCTGGGCAGGGAGGACGAGGAGGAAGAAGAGGTGGAGGAAGAAGAGGAGGAGGTGCTGGGCCTGCACCTGTCCGAGAATAGCGAGTCTGAGGAAGATGGGGATGATAGGCCTGGTGAGGAGGAGGAGGAGTACGATGAGCCTCTGGACATGGACAGCGACCTGGAAGAGCAGCGGGGCGAAGGCCAATGGGGCTCAGGCCTCCCCAGCGAGCTGGCTTGGGGTCAGAGGAAGAAGCTCTACTATGGCACGGACTACGAGGGGGCAGCCCGCCGTCCCAAAGCCCCCAAGAAGACTAAGGAAGAGGTGGAAGCAGAGGAGCTGGAAGAAGAGGCGGAAGCCCAGGCCATTCAGAGGAGGATGGCGGAGAACTTGGCCGAGGAAGACTACGGCTTGGATCTCCTTCAGGCTTACACCAGGACAGCGGAGCCACCAAGCAGAAAAGAATCTGGGCAGAAAATCGCCAAGGATTTGGCGTCTCTTTCTAGAAAAGAGCAGCTGAAATTGCTGAGGAAGGAATCTCCCGAACTGCTGGAACTGATTCAGGACTTCGAAGCCAAAGTAGTGGAGCTCAGAGATGAACTGGAGCCCCTCATGCAAATGATGGGTGACGGAGTCATCCCAGCGGGAAAAGGGAGCCAGTATTTGCAAACCAAGTACCACCTCTATCTGAACTACTGCTGCAACATCAGTTTTTACTTGGTGCTGAAAGCCAAAAGGATTCCAATCCATGGCCATCCTGTCATCGAAAGGCTTGTCACTTACAGGAACCTGATCAATGACTTAGCGGTGGTGGACCAAAAACTGTTGCCAGAGGTTCGTCTGCTCCTTAAGGAATTCCGCAGTAACGAGACCGATGGGGTGGAAAGTAGGAAGAAGCTCCTGCCGTTGGTTAGGAAAACGGTTCATAAAAGGAAAACGAAATCTCCAAACTTTACTAATAATGAGGCTGAAGACGAGCTTGCGGATGACTCTGATTTTGATGAGCAAGCTGCATTGGATTTTTACAAGGAGATGGAAGAAAAGATCATGCTTAAGAAGAAGAGGAAACGAGAAGAAAAAGAAGGCACAAGTCATCCCGTCGTTGAAGAGGTGGAATCGGACCAAAAGAGAGGAGCAACGTACCAGATGTTGAAGAATAAAGGCCTTACGCCTAGGAGAAAGAAGATTGATCGCAACCCAAGAGTCAAACATCGTGAGAAATTCAGAAAAGCCAAGATCCGTAGAAGGGGACAAGTTCGTGAATTCCGAAGAGAAACGCAAAAATATGCAGGCGAATTGTCTGGCATCCGTGCTGGAGTTAAGAAAAGTATTAAGCTCAAGTGATCCATTGTCTTCCTTTTTTTCACCTCTCCCTCTTTATTTGCAACTAAAGATAGCGGATGTGAACTTAATAAATGTATCTTTTTGGGGAATTATAACGTGTATTATTTTTAATAATGGTTCTTACTTCCAGGGTTGTATCCATTACAGGGTTTTGACTTTAATTTATAAAGGTAGTCTTCAAATTACCCCCTTTTTTAAACTAACCATTTGAAGTTTCAACAGCACTGGAAAAAGTTGCCAAGAGGCTGAATTTTGATTATGTGATCCTGGGGATGCTGCAACAGTTGCATGAAAAGCTACGACCGTTGCAGCATCCTTATGGTCACATGATCAAAATCCAGCCACTTGGCAACTGCCTCATATTTGTGACAGTTGCGATGTCCTGGGGTCACATGATCACCTTTTGGGCCTGTCCAACCAAAATCAATGGGGAGGCCAGATTCACTTAACAACTGTTACTTCCTTGACAGTTGTGGCAAGAAAGGTCATAAAATGGGTCAAAATTCACTTAACAACTCTCTTGCTTAGCAGAAGAGATTTTGGGCTCAATCATAGTCGTATGTTGAGGACTATTTGTAGTGCTTGAACGAGCACTAGCTGAGATACCTTCAGTCATGATTCATTTGGTTCCTTTGAGCATTGATATTTCTGGAATAAAATGTGGCAGGACATAGCAGTGGAGAGGGGAGGTAGATGACAATATCACTTAGAGATATGCAGGCAGAGTGTTGTCTACTTGGTTTACAGCTGGATACTAACCATAGGTAGTTCTCAACTTACAATAGGTTGTTTAGTAAAGTTCAAAGTTATAATGGCACTGAAAGAACCCGAAATTTTTTCAGTTACAACTTTTGCAGCATCCCCGTGATTCTGTGATCAAAATTCCGATACTCTGCAAATGGTTCATATTTATGATCTTTGCTGTGTCTTAAGGTCAAGTGATCCCTTTTTGCGACCTGACGAGCAAAGTCAGTGGAGAAGCCAGGTTCACTTAACAACCAAGTTGCTATCTTATTAACTGCAGTGATTCGCTTCACAAATTAGTCGAAAAAGGGGCAAAACTCACTGAACTCACTTCAAGGTTGACTTCCGAGGTGGGTAAAATGAGGACCCAAATTGTGTTGGGAGCAATAGGCTGGCTCTGTAAACCACTTAGAGAGGGCTGTAAAATGGTATGTAAGTCAAAGTGCTATTACTATTAACAAATGTCTCACTTAACAGGAATTTTGGGTTCAAGTGTGGTCATAAGTTGAGGACTACCTGTCCTGGCCTTGTCAATTCAGAACTTTTCCAAGCTGTTTCATGCTATTGTAACCTTCCATAAAAGTGAAGTCTTTGTGGAGTCGAGCTTCGCTATTGGTTACTTCTGGTACATATCCATGTATTTTTCTTGGCCACGGTACAAAAACAGCCTGCTGATTCTTTCTGTGGGACTTCATAACTATTCTTCAGTCTGATTTTTGGCTTTGATATTGGCTGGTAGTTTCCTAATCTAAGTACTAGTCAAGTCCCCCTCTGCTTAGATTTTAACATAGAAAGTTTAGCCAAATGCTGCCACCTACTGAGACAACTGTACTCGTCTGTTATATCACATCTAATCTTCCCCAAATCATTTCCAGATGTTTTAGACCTATTCCCCAAACCTTTCAGCCAGAATCTGAAGGATATCAAATCTTTATTATACAAACCAGCATAATGGAGAGTGACAATTTGAGGAAGATTGGTTTGGTTGTTACTGTTAGGTTATGTTCTTCATTAAGTGTTCTTAATTTTATGTTCTTCATGTCAGTTCCACTTGCCATATAATACTAAACATTACTGAAGAATTTGCAAAATTGGTTATTAAGTTTTGTGGATTCTTGTTTTAAACTATACAATCAAAAAACTAAAAAGTACAGACCCAGAAATTTACAAATTCAAAGTTAAATTCTGCAAAATTGTACATTCTCACATTTTGCAAGGAATGTGGCAATCTTCTACTCCAACTCTTTGTGCAATTACAACATTGCTAATAGTTGTCCAGATTTTGTTTAAAACCCTCCTGCAAGCTAGAACCTATCATCTGTTTCAATTTTTGAAACTTTTCTTACTAATTAATTCATGGAATTAAGAGCATATCAGACATTGGAATGTGTCCTATACCACACGGGAAAAATAATCTCTTACCAATTACTAGATAAATACCATTGGACAACGGTTGGAAAAAATAAAATTATAATGAGTTATTTGCAGGAAAGATCCAGGTGATTTTAAAAAAAATGAGCCAAGTAATACCAGTATGTAATAAGGAAAGGCAATAACACAGGCTTAAGGATATTGATTTATCTACCAAGATTTCAGAAACAAGTTTTTTCAGGGAAGTAGAACTTTAAATAGTAAATGAAAAGTGAATTCAAGTGCAATAGAATGCAAATCTCATTAGTTCTTGTAATGACATTAATGGAAATGTAATTGTCAATTCTGACCTGAACACAGCGCATGCTTTACCACCCATTAACTACCGGCAAATACTTTGAATCTTTACAAATTTACTATGCATTGAGTTGAATATTATTTAAATCCATGAGGTAATATTATTTGCTCAGAATTAAGTATTTCAGAGTTAAAAGCTAAATAAACAATACTGAATACCTGCACAAGGTTATTTGGAAAGATTGCAGTATGTTAACCCTGTTGAGAAAGGCAGCATAAACTAATGTAATTAATTTTCCTGTTTGTGTTTATTTTGTCATATTGTTATTGTTTATATTGTTAATTTATTGGCTGCCTCTCTCACCATGGGGCTGTAGCTGCCCATCTTACAAAGTGACCAGGTGAATAAAGCAGAAAAACAAATACAGAAAATAAATGAATAAATACAGAAAAACAATAATTAAAAATTAGGCATGAAAACTAGTGGAGAGGCTTTGGGCTAGTTGCTCTCAGCCCCTAGGAAGGAAGCAATGGCAAATCATTTCCGAAAATGATGCCATTTGATAAAATCTTTTGGATGGAAAAAAGGCAGCTTCTGATCTGAAGTCCTTTTAAGATACTCCACAATTAATGTTTTAAATGCACAACGTGGTGATAGCATAGGCCAACTGTAGGCCAGCCACAATGCTGTTAATTGCTTTACAGACATCCTAAAAAAAATCCTACAATCTGAAAAAAATCTATCATCCACACAAACTATAGGATGAAGAAGAAAATTAAATGGAAAATTAACCAAAACTACCCCAAAACCTAAATAAGAATTGCAGCAAAGCAATCCTCCAAGGAAATGAGAAAGAAAATGGCAAAATACCACCACCTCTGAAAAAAAACTTTATTTATCCATACAAACTACAGAGCAAAGAGGAAAATAATTTAAAAAGGAGCACTAATCCAAACCCAAATAAGAGTTATAGCAAAGAGGGGGGAATAAATATTTCAAGGAAATGGAAAAATAATAATAATGGCACAATACCACCACCATGTCTGAGAAAAACATTATTTCTCCATGCATTTTTAGAGTGAAGAGGGGGGAAAAATCAAAATGGAAAATTGATTGAAACTACTCCAAAACCCAAATAAGAATTACAGTCAGTCCTTGACTTATGGCCACAATTGAGCACAAAATTTATATTACTAAGTGAGAAATTTGTTAAGCAAGTTTTGTCCCATTTTTATAACTTTTCTTGCCATGTTCCTTACGTTTAAGTGAATTGCTGCAGTTGTTAAATTACTAACATGGTTGTTAAGTGAAGCTGGCTTTTCCATTGACTTTGTTTGTCAGAAGGTCGCAAAAGGGGATCACATAACCCCAGGGACATAAATATGAGTCAGTAGCCAACTGTCTTAAATTTTGATCAGGTGACCGCAGAGATGCTGCAACCGAGGTGGGTATTAAAAAGGATTATAAGTCACTTTTTTTCAGCGCCACTGTCACTTGGGACGGTCACTAAACGAACTGTTGCAAATCGAGGACTACCTCTATAGCAAAAAGAAAGACAGTTCCCAAGAAATTAGAAAGAAAACATCCCAGTCTCACCTGCCAAAAAATGAAAATTAATCGGGGGGGGGGGGATAACCTCCCCGGTCCAGCAAACAAGTCGATCCCTCCCAAGGATCTACTAGGACCCTGCCAGGCGATCCTGCCTCCTCAGGCTCGCTCTGCCCCAGGAGCCGCGCCGTGCGCTCCGGGGAGGAGCCGGGGCGCGCGCCGAGGAGGCCGGCCGAAGTCGGGGCCGGCGGGGCGGGGCGGAGCTCGGCGAGGGGCCGGGTCAAGGCGAGGCTTCCCCGCACCCCCAGGCCGGCTGGGCCCGAGCTGGCTTGATCCGCGGAGAGGCGGCGACGAGGCGAAGTTGCCTGGTTGGCCGCGCGGGGGGACCTGCCTGCCGTGCGCCCTTGGAGAGGCCGAGGGGTACCCCGCGCTTGGCCGGCATGGAGAGCTCCGGCGGCCGCAGCGCCCAACGCCGGGAGGCCGTCGGGGAAGCGGACGGGGAGGGGGAGGAGGAGGAGGAGGCGCCGCCGGACTCGCCTCCTTTTTTCCTCCTCTACCCCGGCCGGGGAGGAGGCGCCGCCACCGCCGCGCCCGGAGCGCAGCCCCAGAGCGCTTGGCGCGCCGCGCCGCCGGGCCCTCGTGGCGACCCGTTGCCGGTCCTGCTCAGCTACATCGGGCCGGAGCCCGCCCAGCCGCGAACCGGTGGCGCTCGTGAGTAGTAGCAGCCCCGCAACTTGGGGTGGGTGGGTTCTTCTTCCCCGTGGGTGGGATCTGGGCTCCCATTATCCCCAGCGCGGGGTGGATGGGTGGGTAGAGAGTCTCTGCTGTCAAAAGGTTGAGGAGCCGGACTCCACAGTCCATAGATGCCTCTTTCTGGTTGGCGCACCCTGCTTTCTGCACCCCCCCCCCCCAAATCCTTCAAGAGAAGATTCCCTTCCTACTCCTTCCTCTGTGTGTGTGTGTGTGTGTGTGTGTGTGTGTGTGTGTGTGTTTCTCTGTGTATGTTCTCACCCCCTTTTTTAAAATGATTTTCTCCAAAGCCTGGGTGTGAACTGGCTACCCTCCCTCCTCACTCACCCTTCCTGTGTGTGTATATGTGTGTGTAACTCTGTGTATATGTTTGTGTGT